AGGGCTGTGTGTGTTACTTTGGTGCTAGCTACTCTATCTTCTTTGTTATTGCATCAATAATTTGACAATTTTTTGCAAATTTGGTTCGTTGTTGGGATATTGCTTTATATTTGTGGATTTTCTTATATACTGGTGGTTGTTGTGACTTGTACGTCAAATTGAAGGAACCCACGATGATAAACTTGCTTGACCGGGCCTTTTTTTTCCGGTGGTCACGGAACTTAGCGGTAGATCCCTTGCGGAGAAAGACATACTATATATTTCATGAGCAGCCATTACCGTTCTTTAGAGCAGGAGGAAACAATTCAAGTTAAGATGTATATACATCAAAAACACCGTCTATTGTTCTCTTTTAATAACAAATGAAAAAACAAAACTGATTTCCACCAGTCGAGTTCTCGGTGCCCAACCGCAATCACAATGGCCTCGCCATGCCTAATGGCTCCGTGCGCCAGGCTGCCGGTGCCTTTCATAAGGCCAGGCCACCAACGTTTGCCTTCGAAACGCCGCCTTCAACTGGTTGTGGGAACTGGAAAACCTGAAAATGGGAACAATGGGGGGCCAAGGGTTGTACATGTTTACGTAAAATGTTATTTTGACCACACTCATAGCTTTAAATGAAAGTTCTTTTACCTCTACATATTCACTATAAATCAAGAAGAAACCCACCAAACCCGTAGGTGTAAAAGAACTTCGATTTAAAGCTATGACTATAAAATGGAACCACACTCATATTCGCCCTTAAACTCCATTCAAAATAAAACAAAAATAACTTAAGGGCCAATATGAGTAGGTGTTAGGACTCTGGACTATATTGTAACCAGGCTATTATCTTTATGGTATTATTGTCTTTTCAGTTAATGTTGGCATCATCCAATGGGGTAGAGAGTGGAGATGTGTTCCAATCATGTACAAGCCTTTCTCTAGGGTTGTATAAGAACCAACTTTCACCATTTGAAAAAGTATGAAATGAAAAATCAAATGTTTTAGTCTTTATCTTTTCCCCTTTTCTTCCTTCTATCTGTCTTCTTCCTCGAGTCCTTATCGTCTGGTATTAGCATCCAGGTGTTGTCTTCTATGGGCAAGAGCAAAGCCTTCGTGGTTGTTGCCGACGTCACGAAGGCCAATCTCGAGCTGGAGTATTAGCAACACCAAATACTTGAACAGCTTAATGGGTTTCATGACTCGGTGTCAATGTTGGCCACTCGCCAAGAGACGTTCCAGTCCCACTTGATGGAGGAGCTCTGGTTGTTCCGCTAACCGTCGCCACTTACCCAGATCTCCCAGATCCCAATCGGTTCTCTCCAAATTCCGATTAGCTCGGCGCCCACCCCGCTGCCCCACCCCCAGCTGTTGTACCTCCACATACATAGGGTTCTCATTACTCCAAATCCCCATATATTCCTTACACCTTATCCCCCATGACCGAATACCTGCAGGCGTCACCCCAGTTTTCGATGTCCACTACTACCCTTCGACATCCTTCTCCTACACATTTTCCCAACCACTAGCAACACCCAATCTTTTCTGGTGCCTCGACCCCCTCCCATGGTCCCAAATTCATGAAAATCGAGCTCATCCGATTCTGCAGCGACAACCCGTACAACTGGTTAGCACTTGCAGAAGAGTTTTTGGACTATCATGGTGTCGATCCCCTCAACCAAGTCACGATCGCGGGCCTCCATTTCACTGGTGATGCGGCTTTATGGTTCAAATGGTATAAACAACAAGTTGGGTCGGGCTTATGGGCCACGTTTACAAAATGTCTCTTACAACGGTTTGAGCCCGGTGATCAATTGGACTTTAATATGTCATTCTCTCATGTGTCCCAAAAAGCCTTTTATGAGGCTTATGTTAACGATTTCATTCGTTTGTCTTGCTGAGCCCAAGGTTGGACCGATGCCTAACTTTTAGGGGTTTTCCTTGGCGGGCTTAAGTTGGACTTACAAGATGATGTATTAGCCCAATCCCCGCACCATAGAGCTCACTCGTATTTATGACAACAAGCAGTAACAGCGTCGTAGCATATTTCGCCTCTACTCTCTTCGCCCCTCCAACGTTTCCTGCACCATCATCGACAGTGTCTGCTTCACCCACCAGACCATCTTCCTCCTTGCCGGCTTGGCCACCTCTGCGCCTATCTCCGGTGGAAATCCGTGAACGCTGTTAACGAGGCCAGTGTCTTTACTGCCCTGAGAAATACTTTCCAGGTCACACATGTGCCACACCCTACTTGTTACTTTTGGATGCGACGTCCGTCTCTGAGGCAGCCTCCAATACATTTTCTGAAGATACACAACCGATTCCAGATAAGCCTCTGGGGAAAATATTGAACCCATCACCCTCAACGCTTTGGCCTCTCCCAAACGCACGCGAGGCGGTGCTATGCACATTGTGGGTCACGTAGATACTCTGCCTATTCAGGTTTTTGTTGACTCTTGTGCTGACCTTAATTTCCTCAACCCCTCACTTGCAACTCGCCTCGATCTCCGTATTAACAGCTCATGTATTGAACCAATAGTTGTAGCTAATGGCCGCCTCTGCTATACCAAAGGGATTGCATACAATGTCTCGGTCAATTTACAGGGTTATAAGTTTAGTTCAGATGTGCGTCTCCTCTCCATCGTCGAGTGTGATCTTGTCCTTGAAGCTGAATGGTTAGAGACTTTGGGATACATCGGTTGGCACTTCAAAGACAAGGTTATGGCATTCCAAATTAATGGGACTAACTATCGTTTGGTTGGGTTGCGTCCGTCTGATATTCCCACAACCCTCTCTTCGTCATCTTCCGTCGCTCTGTTGCTGGACGTGGGCTCTTTGCTATTCTCTTTCTTCTATGCTAACTCACTACCTTTGGAGGTTCAACCCACCCCAATGGCACTTACCTTTCTATTGGATAGCTACTCGGATCTGTTTGTTACTCCTACGAGCCTTCCACTCCGTCGTGAAATTGACCACCGAATCACCTTGTTGCCGAGTACTCTACCAGTGAATGTTCGTCCTTACCATTACTCACATATTTAAAAAGCTGAAATTGAACGACAGGTGGAGGAAATGCTAGCGGCAAGGGTTATCTGCCCAACTCAAGTCCTTTTTCATCCCCTGCCTTATTGGTTTACAAGGCCGACAAAACTTGGCGTTTTTGTGTGGACTACCGGGGTCTAAATCTGGTGACTATTAAGTTCCCCTTTCCCGTGCCCACCATTGCCGAGCTGGTCAATGAACTTCGTCACGCTAAGGTTTTCTTCAAACTCGATCTCCGGTTGGGATTCTATCAAATCCGTATGCATGTACCAGACATCCCCAAAACAGTTTTCCGCACACATGATGGGCACTTCATTTTCTTGGTCATGCCTTTCGGCCTCTGCAATGCTCCTTCTACATTCTAAGCCTTAATGAATTCCATCTTCAAGCCATTTTTGCGAAAGTTTGTCTTGGTCTTTTTCGATGGCATTCTCATGTTTAGTCTAGATTTACCATCGCACCTGCAACATTTAACCTCTGTATTTGAGGTTCTGAGGGTACACGACCTGAAGCTCAAAGCCGCCAAGTGCTCTTTTGGCCAACTTACTGTAGCTTACCTCAGCCATATCATTTCAGCAGTCGGCTTTGCCATTGACTCTCACAAGGTGCAATGCATCTTGGATTACCCTCCTCCCCGTACACTAAAAGGCTTGCGTAGGTTCCTTGGGTTAACCAACTATTACTGGAAATTTGTGCATAATTTTGGCCTCATTGCTCGTCGCTTAATGGACCTTCTCAAGAAGGACAATTTTAAATGAACACCGACAGCAGAACACGTCTTCACAACTCTCAAACATGTTATGTTGTCTACCCCAATCCTCGCTCTTTCGAACTTCTCTAAGCTCTTCACCGTGGAATGCGATGTTTTCGACGCGGACATTAGGGTTGTGGTTTCGCAGGACCACCATTCTGTCGTTTTTTTTAGCAAGTCCTTAGCAGAGAAACATAAAGCCTTGTTGGTCTACGATAAGGAGATGATGGCGATAGTCTTTGCAGTCCAAAAATGATGTCTCTACTAACTCGGGCACCCTTTGACAATACTCACAGGCCATCAAACATTGAAACACTTCTTCAATCAGCGAATCACAACACCCACTTAACAGAAATGGCTTCTTAAATTGTTGGGTTACAATTACACCTTGAAATACCGTTCGGGTTCTACAAATATGGCCGTTGATGCCTTGTCCTAACAGCATGAATGCTTGGTGTTGATGGGCATCTCCCAACCTATCTTTGACAGCATCTTCGAGATCCAAGCTGAGTATGCCCACAACCCCGAAGCTGCTGCTATTTTCCAGGCACTACAAAACCACCAGTCAGCTCTTGCACATTTTTCTCTTTAAGGTGATCTCTTATACAATAAATACGGTATTTTTGTGGCTGCTTCCTTACCTTGGCAATGCTGTATTTTGGAGGAATTCCATTATTCCCCAAGAGCAGGGCACTCGAGCTTCATTCGCACTTACAAGAGGATACTTCGTAATTTCCATTAGCTTGGTCTAAAGAAAGACGTTAAGTCATTTGTTGCTAGCTGTGATACCTAACAGCATACAAACTTGGACTGATATTGCTATGGATTTTATCGAAGGTTTTCCCTCTACTTAGGGTCGTAAGCCATTTTTACGATCGTGGACCGGCTCTCTAAGTATGCCCATTTTATACCCATCAAACATCCTTATTTTGCTGCCAAGGTTGCTGATGTCTTCCTTCGAGAGGTATTTCGTCTCCATGGTATTCCAGCCACAATTGTCAGCGACCGCAATCCAATTTTTATCAGTCATTTCTGGGAATCCTTCTTCAAGTTGCACGATTCACAGTTATGTCGCAGCTCTACCTATCACCTTTAGTTCGACAGCCAAACAAATGTGTTGGAACTTTACCTTCACAGCTTTGTGGATGACAAACCAAAATCCAGGGTTGACCGGTTACCGTAGGCTGAATGGTGGTATAATACCACCTTCCATTTGGCCATCCAAATGACCCTATTCGAAGCTGTCTATGGTCACCCACCCTTACGTGTCATGTCCTACTTACCGGGTTCATCTCCAGTTCACCTTGTGGATACCATCTTGCGTGACCGTGATGCTCTCATCCGCCACCTGCGCGAGAACCTGCAATTTGCCCAAGCTCGAATGTGTCTTTATGCCAATAAGAAACATTCTAAGCGAGAATTTCAGGTTGGTGATTGGGTCTTCCTCCGCTTACAACCATATCGCCAATCTTCAGTAAGTCACAACAACTGTCGTAAACTGGCATCTCAATTCTATGAACCCTACAATGTCCTGGCTCGTGTAGGCAAGGTTGCTTATACTTTGGATCTGCTTCCTTCCTCCCGCATCTACCCAACGTTCCATGTCTCCCTTCTCAAACCCAAGCTCGGCTCTCATGTGGTCTCTTCTACTGTGCTCATGCCAATCTCTGATACCGGGTTTGTCATATAGACTCTTAAAACCATCCTGACGTGGAATGATCAAACGCGGAAACAAGGTGGTAACACGCTGGCTTATCAAATGGTTGGGTCTACCAGAACATGACGCTACTTGGGAAGATGCCGATGTCATCTTGGACCGTTTCCTAGACTCTAACGCTTGAGGACAAGCTTTTTCTTAGGGGGGAGGATTGTTAGGACTCTGGACTATATTGTAACTAGGCTATTATCTTTATGGTATTATTGTCTTTTCAGTTGTTAATGTTGGCATCATCCAACTAGGTAGAGAGTGGAGATGTGTTCCAATCATGTACACTCCTTTCTCTACGGTTGTATAAGAACCAACTTTCATCATTTGGGAAAGTATAAAATGAAAAATCAAATGTTTTAGCCTTTATCTTTTCCCTTTTTCTTCCTTTTATCTGTCTTTTTTCTCGAGTCCCTATCAGTAGGACTGAAAAAAATACCCGACAAAACAAAACCTGACCCGATCCCTACCAAACCATGAAACCAACCTAAAAAATCAAACCCAGTAAATACCAAACCGTTTGATAACCAAAACTGAAACTTACCAAAATTTTTGGCATGGTATTCGGTTTTCCTGAATGGAAAAACTTCGTGATTTTTTTTTTTTTTTAAATGGAAAAATTATGAATTTTAAATTGGATTTGGATATTCAATTTGGAAATTTTGAAATTGATTTTAAGGCTTACGATTTGGGAATTTTAAAGTTGAATTAAGAGTTCCCAGTTGACGATTTTAAAATCGAGTTGGGGCTTGATATAATTTTACTAATTCTAAATTTCTAATCCTCTGGGTTCTAATTATTTTTAAAAGGAGAACCGTTTCTGGAACAGTTTGAGGCGAACCCTACCCGGATTTCTTTAGTTCTCCTCCGTCAAACCATCATGTAATTCCGAGCAAATCTCCTTCGAATCCTCTTGCAGTTCCTCAGTTGAATCCTCCTACAATTTCTCCACGTAATCCTCCATCGAATCCATAAAACAAATGTCACTTCGGTTTACCAAACAACCGAAAAACCGAATATATTTTGGTTTTCACCGATTTTCAGTCAACCAAAAATTTCGGTTCAGTTTCAGTTTTATTTCTTATTCCCGAATAAAACGGTTCAGTTACCGAAACCGAAACCAGCCCTAAATGTAAGGCCCTTACTATGGCCCATTTTTTGAATATTTTGAAAATAAAACTAATGTTACATTAAGAATGTTGAATAACTAAGGGAAACAGGTGGTAATTTATTCATATGATCAATCATAAAGACGAAACAACTTTTTGACAACTTCAATTTCGCATTTATTAAACTCAATACTTTTGCTACCACATATCTCAAACTTTCAGTCGAAGACCCAATTGCCGAGAAAACGGCTTGATACACTAAATGTTATAATACAATTGGTTCTAAAAAAAAATTTCTTCAATTTTTCAACCAACTGCATTATTACAATAAGGCATACCAGCTCACGTTCTGGGCACAATGAAAAATCTCTCCGTATGAATTAACAATTTCTTGGCTGCATACGAGAGTGTATTTGGTTACTATAGACAAAACAAACACGGGGAAAGGCGTATACATGACACTGAACGGCCTGTCAAACAATAAACATAAATTTTCAGGTAACGGGATTAATGACGGCCATAAGACGTGGAACCACCATACCAGAGCCAAAGTCCTGACAGAATTTCAACGGCTACAACGCAGAAACAAGGGACATCGGCAACTCAAAATTGAAATACAAGCAACTGACTAAAAAAGAAACCTGTACGTCCCCAACTCTAACGGTCAGACAATCAAACTTGGAAGACCATAGATACTTAAAAGACAGACAAGTTGAGATCAAATGAAAACCAGAAACTTTGGTAACCTTTATAGCCAACGGGTACCATACCATGCGCGGTAACTTACTGAGTTACTGACTAGAAAAGATGAATTGATTCCAAAAGTAAAGGGTCTAGCTAATAGAAACCAGAACCAACCTGTTAAACCCAGGACAGATGGCACTGGCGGACACAAGATGCGTCGATCCACAAAGACCATAAATCCCATAGCAGTTAATACAACTTGACACAGATCATTATAAAGTAGAGTAACTCGATAACCGCTGCAACACGACGACGACAGGACTGACTTTCAGACACCCATATTGAGCATCGCTGGATGACAACTCTGGACCTTCTCAACCCTCAATTATGTCCTAGTACTCACTGGAACAGTAGACAAATATAAATTAACCGATGCACTTGAAAATACACAAGGAAAATTAAAAACAGCTAGAATCAAAATCCATCTACAGTTTAAAAACAAAAATCAAGCGGAAAAGGAAAGCTTTTGATCCATTAATAGTTCACAACATAAGATGTATATTACGTTTGTAAAGTGTAGACATATCACCAAAAACAAGGATTCCAAGCAACCCATAGAAAACCAGAAAAAATGTCTAATGCAACAAACCTGATCATTTTCATTCGGAGCAGGTGAAGGGGACTTCTTTGACTCGGCTGGTTTGTCTGCTCCACAGTTCTGTCTGTTACACTTGGTTCTAAATGGATAGTTTATATTATTACATTTCTCACACTTCCAGCTACCTTCCGGCATCTTTTGTTCTGAAAACAATTGACATTAAAAAAGGGTACAACAAAGTTAAAAGCCAAGAACGGTAAAAGGAAAAAGGAATTAATTTGGTGAGAAAAAGGCCTGGGATGACTTACTGGAACTTTTGTCCATCTTTGCAGGCTGCTATAGAAGAGAACATTGCATGTCAGAAAAATTGATCCTCGAGAGAAACTTAAATGTAAAATATTCAGAGAAAGGAGATGCACACAAACATACTTGTGTGTGTGTGTGTGTGTGTGTGAGAGAGAGAGAGAGAGAGAGAGAGAGAGAGAGAGAGAGAGAGAGGGAGAGAGGGAGAGAGAGACCTGAGATCCAGGCTTTGGTGTATTGCACTTCCTCATGTTGCAAACAGTTCTAAATGAGAAGTTGACGTTTCCACATTTTGGGCATGTCCAGTCATTGTCACGTGTAGCATCTAAATGTGCAATAAAGTTGAAAACTTGATGATCATTTAGACATAATCGTTTACGGATGTCCAACAACGACTAGAGATTCGAAAGGAGACTACATAACTGACCTGTGCCCTTCTTTTGAGCTTTATCATCTGGAAAGAATCCTGGCCTTGGTCCCTGCACAAGAAAATAATACATAAAGTTTTACAACATCCAAGAGCAAGGTATTCTGTTGCAAGTTCAACAAAAGAAAAGAAATGCTTCCTGTGAACTTCGGAAACAAATATATAGAAAATTTGAGAGCCCAATGAGCATCAAATGTCATTAAATGACTGAGCAAAAATTGGCTTAAATTGTAAAATAGCAATAGAAAACACATATCAAGCAGACTGTTCTAGGGAACGAAGATGACTAAATGCGAAGAATGCAACAATAACATTAGCTTTTGCACATACCATAGGGCCAGGGCCCATGGGCAGACCCAGGCCAAACCGATCCATCATAGGCGGGGGGATACCATACATTCCACCTGCAAAATTAGAAAATCACAAGAGAAAGACCATAAGACACTAACTCATCAAGCAACAACACTCTGGCATGGAACTTGCATAAGCAAGGTTACAGCAACATGGGATAACCACAAAATTGTAAATGGGAAAAATTGCTTAAACAGCATAAAAAAAATAGTAATCAATGTACTAATTAATCCATTATCCAAGCAAGAAAAAACAAGGACATCACAGGATAAATCAAGAAAGCATACCATTTCCAATCATGGAACCACTAGAATATGGTGTTGGTCCAGACAAATGCAGAGGTCTGTAGGGGCTGCCTGTAGATAGGCGGCTGCCGTAGTTGTAATGATATGCTGATCCCCCTGAAAATGGAACATCATAGGGAGGAATGGATGATCCATTGAAGATAGAAGAACCATAAGGTGGCACACCAAGATACATTGAAGAGGGTGCAGCAGAGCCCAGATAAGGAGGAGCAGACGGGTAACCCTGTGGGGCTGGGAAAGGCTTAGCAGCGGGTTTCTGAAATGTACAAAACTCGAACCTTTATATCTATATCTAACATAATTAACCCAACAAAGATTCCATGTCAAAAAAAAATATCAAAAAACCCAAATATACAAGTTTTCATTATAAAGTGCAAAGTTTCGCAACATAAATCCCCTCTGCCACTTGACCCCATCTCTCTTTTCTTTTTTTAAACAAAATACAAAAACCAACAAACAAATCATGCAAAGTTTAGAGAACAAAATGCAAACAGGATTTAGCAAGTGACTTCAAATATGCATTATACGCATCACACTTATCCAAGTTCATAAGTATTCAGTATCGCGGTCGGTGTCTTACTGAGTTATGATCTGCAGGCCTCGGCTGAGTGCAATTACGCATATTGCAAGTCGTTCTAAATGAAAAATTATCATTCCCACAGCTAGGGCAGGTCCAATCATCTTCCCTTCGACTACCTACAAACACCGTATACACGAATAATGAACTCCAAAACCATAACACCAAACATAATACAAATGCATTAAACCCTAAAATCCACATTCAAAACATTATGAATCAACACATGCACATTATATACAATTACTGAAATTAGATCTTCCAAATAAATAAACTAAAATATAACCAAAAAATATATCTTTGTATCTGATAACATACAAAAACCGAATCAAAGGGACCTCAATTAAAGAATTAAAAATTGAAAAAAATACCATCGGTTCTAGCACGCTTGGCTGCTGAAGAATTTCTGTTGTCAACCTGAACACAAAGAAATCAACTTTACTAGCGGCTAAAAAAATTGGGGAAAACCCTAAATTTGGCTTCGTCGTGGAGATTTGGGGAAAACCAAAATGCAAAATTGAAATTGCAGAAAGTGGGAGGCGATTACCTGAGACATATCGGCGGCGAGATATTAGAATCCGGGTTCGAATGCCAGAGAGGAAGGCAAGTTGCCCTAGCAGAAGCAACGGTGGCGCTGGCTGGCTGGCTGGGGACTCGACGAATATATTGTCAGGGGTTTTCTATACGATAATATACGATTAAGTGGATTTGAGTGGCGGGTCGAGCGCGGCGCACCGTTTCGTGTTTGCCCTTTCAGAGATTGCAAGTTCGGGTAGGATGGACGGTCCAGATGGGCCGATTAGGAGGACTCCTTTTTTTTTTTGTTTTTTTTGAAAGAAGGATGATTCTTAATTCTATTATTTTTTTTAAAGAAGTGTATTGTTGTTCACGTCCTGCACAATATGCCCTACGCAAGACACATTGTAAGAAGGGTCTTTCAACATTGTAATGATTAGAAGAGAGTCGCTCGTTATGATTAAGAATAGCAAGCGAAAATATAATAAGTGAGCAAATGAGTGTAAAGCCGAATATGATTGCTCTAAGCAAGCAGTCCACTGACCTTCGAATGGTGTTGGTCCTACAAACTGTGAACGGATTCAACCCGGCAGTTGGGCATGTTCTAACCGATTGAGTTCATCGGATGGAGCATGGTTCGCCAAAATCGACACATTAGGTGCTGGTACTGATGAACATGGTAAGCCAAAATTACTCCATAATATTGAGTTTGAAGGCAGCCCTATTGACTTTACACTGCAATTAATGGGAATTACTAGTAACAGTAGAGAAACTCAATTTATAGAGGTAAAGATTCAATTTTGGTACTTCTGTTCTGTGTGAGAAGTTGAGAACCAGTATAATTTGGTGCCTTTACTTTCTATTTGGCTTGCGCAGTTGAGCTGCCACAGTGACCATTTACTCCCATATAATTTGAATTCCAAGGCACAAAGTTACATAAAAGTTCTTTGTTAAGTTGTTTCTGCACACCATGTTTCTCCCAACCGTTTTCTATGTGCACGTTAGCGTAGGCAAATAAGTAAAAGAATATGTAACATATACACTCCGATCATACACTCTTCTATGCACCTGAGTTTGAATTCTTCTTCATGCAATTTAGATAAGAAACTTGCCCGACTTCTAATTTTACCTCTTTCACCTCCATGAAACTTGATTCCTTGTAAATTAACTGACCTTTTCACGTACTATTTGAATCAAATATTTGCTGATTCAAATAAATATGAATTAGCTCCCACCACAACAAATGAATATTAAACTCGAATAATACCATTAAGAAGTTTTCCGAAGTGGGTAACTACAGCATGAAGTTCACAAATAAAGTTGAAACGTAGATACCAAGTCAAAGGAAACAATTACACATCAAATGCGAACAACCCTAAAAAGATCACGCAGAAAAAAGCACTTAAACACTTCTCAAGAGAGAACCTTCATCGTCTGATCATATACTAGCTAAACATATAGTGCGGGGAATGCAAAGAAGAAGATGGCCACAGCCATTGCCATCAGACCAGCATGCTGGGGTCCAAGCTTGGAAACTCCGTCCTTTTCGGGCGCCAATTGTTGTCCGGCAGCTCCAGCAGTGGGAGTAGCCGTTGATGATGCATTATTGTTGAAGATAGCAGCCTCTGGTGAGCCAGCAGGTATGCCTAGAAGCTCTGGCCATTCACACCACAATATTGCAAAGTCAGTCAATTACCATTAGTGAGGTAGGATTAAGATCTTTGTGTTACACATTAAGTAGGGTTAATTAGGAAACCCTAAACTAATCAAGAGCCAAACAACTTGTTAATCTAATTATGGTTATCTACTGGTGTCAGTATGTGTGTGAGCCATATTTCTGGTTGGTAGTTGGAGGTTGGAGCAATGGCTTATTAATCCTCGCGGCCCTGATGGGACAGGTGCATTAGGGCATGAGGTATTTTGAGCCTTTAGGTGTCAACCTGTCAATTGCCTACCCCATGCAGCACTGAGAGATTTTTCTTGGTGCCAGAATACGTGGTCAGGTACACCAAATATCAATAAATACAAGTAAATAGATAAGTGAAGAAAAACTTCTCCTCACTTATATTATAACATTTGGTGTGTCAAGGACCTTATTTCCGGTACATTAAAAAATCTCTCTAATGCTATGATATATATAAATGAAAACTCTTTAAAATCCTGACTTTAAATTTCCCAATTTTATCCTCTCACCTCCATGTGAGATCCACAACATTTTTCCCCATGTCACATTTCACATGTGAGAGACTAGGAAGAAAAATTTGATAAAACATAATTTATTTTCTAGCATCTACGGGTATGATGTTATCTAGTGACACAAAACTAAATTACATCTTTTTTTACAAATGAAACTACTAGTTTGAGTAATCAAGGGAAGAAGAAAATAAAATCAATTCTTAGTTGACTAATCCGCAAATCACAATCTAACTAAGAAAACATTTGAATTTATGAGTTACCCCAACAATGTAAAAACTAGATTTCACTAGACCAAATCGTCACTGGCGGGGTTTTTTTTTTTTTTTTTTAGAACGATATTTCTCTTTATTTGTAAGTAAAATGTTTTAAATTTAACTCACTGACAAGTTTATACCTAATTAGACTACTTGTATGTATCTCATGTTTAATTCACTCACATGGTGAATTCGAAACATAATTATATCTAAGTTGTGAATTTAACTTTAGTCCAAATTCAACTCAAAAAATAATATTTTTGTATTAAAGGAAAGAAAAATAATATATCAAGACAAGCATGTAAACTCAAAATGACATCGTTTTAGGACTTACTAGGGCAGTCGGAGGCAGTGGCGTTTTTCAAGCTGCATGCTGTGGGGAGCTGGATCAACTTGGCCACCTGAATCCCCATCTTCTTAATCTCCTCGCTCCCATTGTTGGCCTGTTGAATGACGTAACATAGGCACTCCGGCTGAGTCTCCCTTATCCCCTTCACCGAATCACAGCACTCCTTCGTTGGCGCATCCGCCTTCCCCGTCGCGTAGTTCAAGCACACCGCCACCTTCTGGAACTTGTCGTTGCACTTCTCCGCCACCGTTGGCGCCGCCGCTCTGACCTCGCCAACCGAAGCGCAGGCGACGAAAACGGAGAACAACACCGCCATCATTTTCCTCATCATCTTCTGAACGAGCTATATCAACAATTCTATATATTCTTCTTTGCGTGTGATATTTGATAATGTGGAATAACAAATTGGCTGGTAATAGAAGGGAAATGTTAGAGTTGGTCTTGTCTAACTAGCTTATTTAATGAAGGGGGGATGGGGGTTGAATGCTTTCAATCTGGACCTTCCGCGTCAGTTAAATTTAACATTAATAATCGCGACGATTATCCAATGACAAATGTCACGGAGATTATGTTTTTATATTATATTTGCGACTACATGATATGATAAGTGATGTGTACACATTATGTCTTAATGAATTTATGTAATTGAATGTTGGTTATCAATCCCTAATCACATCATACGACAAACAAATGCGCTATAACAATGTGATCCTTCTAGTATTTGCATGCAACTAAGACAATTACAGACGCATATAGATAATTTTCGCACACTTTTTTCATACATTTTATATTTTTTCTCGTCAAGTCAAATAAATGAATGAAAACAACAAACATAACTAGACAAAAGAGTATTTAAATTTAAAAATAACGTGTGTTGATCATTTTCCTAATTCAATAATGTCTAAAATCCTAAATCAATAATGTTAGTATTTGATAAAAAGGGAATGCTGAACAATTCATATCGCTATTCTATAGCAATTTTTTTGCTTCTTATCCAAAATATGATATGAACCGTTTATTTTTTAAGTCGTTATTATTATTATTTTTTTGGACAAACATAAATCGTCATTATTATTATACAATATTATGGTATGTTCGCAAAAGAAAATGAGGATGCAGGAAGAGAAGAGATGAGGTTTTCCCGACCGATATGAAGAGGGTTTTAATTGGAGGCCCATTGGGGTAGTTGGGCCGCATTTAGTAGCTTCTGCCGCTCCTTCTTCATTATACGAGAGTAAAAGCGGGGACTGCCACCAACTTTGTCAGCATTTATTGTGAAAGAAGGGAAAGTTAAGAGATTTTTCAATGCGCCGGTATAAGTGACAAAACACTACATATTATTATATAATTAGAAAGTTTATTTTTTAAGTGTTCTTATAAGTGACAAAACACCACATATTATTATATAATTAGAAAGTTTATTTTTTAAGTGTTCTTGTAATTGTGTAATAGTATGTGGTGTTTCACCCTGTTTTTCGAGCACACTAAAAATTCTCCGAGAAAATGATGATATGAGGTTTTGGTTTAAATGAAGTGAGCTGTGGCCCACACGTGTCGACTGCCGACGTCTTCGCCCGCGTGGAAGCTCCGTGACGTACGAGATCAGATGGGAGAAATTCTCTCCTCGTCCGGAGTCGCTCTGTAATCAACGGCTCAGGTCGTGACCAGGAGGACCATGTGGCCCCTATAGGCCCAAGAGATGTTAGGTATTGGTAGGGCCTAACCTAAGCCCATTTCACATGAATGAGACATCCAGTACCAGTGGTGCAAAAGAGGTTGGCAAAGTATCTATACGGCCTTTTGACAGTCGGTCATGGCCATAATTAGGTGTGAGAATGGTCACATATTTGATTTCTTGCGTGTTGGGAGGATAGAAATTAATTTTCTCGTAGGTTGAGAAATAAATGAATAAATTATGTTCAACTTAAAGGTAGAAGATTGATTACTTATTAGATAAAATTATCAGTATTTTCCATTCAAACCTACCACCCTTTCCACGGTAGTCCTTGAGTAATTTGTTGCTAATATCATTGTTGTATATTTTAACAATTGGATCTAAAGTTTCGACGAACATTGAAAGTTCCTGATTTCAATATAATTTAATTTTGAGAATTATTCATTCCAAACTAATCTTAGATGTCAAACACGACCTTACTCTATATAATTGGTTGTATAACCGGTAAAAGAAAATTGCTATTATGTTCATGTTAGATTCTCACTAGACAATACCATTTTCTCGAACTTTCTTGTTACTTTATGGAGTTATTCTAATTTGTGTGCTATCTTATACTTGTTCAACGTTGTTTGCAACGAGAAGTCTATATTCAATAAATATTGTTGATAAATAATCGATATTTTGTAGATATTATTTATGTAATGTTGGTATTTCCCACCATTACATCAATATAATGTTGTTAATACAATGATAATATCAAGTACTAATATAGTCGTTCACGTTCTTTGTATCGGAGCAGGTCACTTCGACTCGCTAGCACTGTAACTTTATTTTGATGTTTCATCCGCCTAATCACCACCAAGAAACGTTAAACAAAAGGGAATTGGATCCTCTCCTGAGTAGGAGATCAGGATCCTCCTAACCCATTAACACGCGTCGTTAGATTTTAATCCAACGGCTACAATTATTTTAGTTTTAGATAGACTTCCTGTTTATAACCGTTGATTACAACGGTTAAATTAGATGCTAGATTAGCAACCGACGGGGTTCGAACTCATGCCGTCATGTAAAGGCTCAACAACTTTTCACCACTGTGGTAAAAGACCATTTGCTAACTTATATCAAGTTTACTATAATTGAAATTTTTACAATAAATTTTTTTGATATCATGGTCATACTATAGAAAAATTTTCGTACAATAAAATTTGAGAAAGAATTGGCTCCATACTTCCTGGCATGTTCATAGAACTTTGTGCTTATGATTCAAACATTTCATATTATAAATCACTTTATAAAAATCGTCTCCACAAAAAAAATCAATTAAAACTAAGATCTTTTAGTCATTGTTGACCCTAAAAACTACTAAGCCTACATGGCGCGCATGCCGAGTAATTAATAAGCTAATTACGTTCTTCTGCTGTGTGCGGAGCGTGCCAACTCGTCGGCCGAGTTCAGCCAGGGAGTAAAATATGTTGATGTGACGTTGGGCGCTACTGACTTTTTGATCTTACGACTACGGCTAAGGAAGAAACACGTCTCGACCTTCGGGTTCTAAAGCTTGAAGACAAAGGCTGCTAGTTATGCGAAGTTCAATTTCAAATTCGGCTTTCAATGTGCCGAATGTAGCAATCTGGTAACACCTCACTTCCCTGAGAAGGTTGATGAGATGACATATATCAACAACGACTCGAAAATCCTTGTTGACCGAGACTTGGATAAATAACCAGTCGATCTTAAAGCAGTGTTGTTTATCCAAATTGAAGGTGCTCATCGGTCGACTGATTCTACGGCTCCGGTGCTGTCTATCCAAACTGAAGATGCAGTCGCTTCACAGTGTTGTCTATCCAAACTGAAGATGTGTTGGCGAGAATAAAGGTTGTTGAGAAGCTTTGCACAAGGTAATTTGTGTGTTGATTTGAAGAGGCCTTGAATGATGCACTCCCCTCTCTATTTATAGAAGTGAACCCCCTTATGGCCGAACTAGAAACTTACTTATATTACAACTCATCAACCCAATCTGATCAAGTTTCGACCGATCCTAACCCTTATAGGACTTCAAGCAAAGCTTCTTAACGAACAAGATTCATCCCCTAATTCTAAGCATCCTTAGCTTTAAGACTTCTTGTTGCACTAGGCTCGACTATTTTACCCTTATCTAAAACAATCCTCTTTATAATAGAATTCGCCCAACCTTGACTGGACAGCCTATGACAAGATTCTAGATGAATGTTACTGGACCGAGAACGACTCTAAGCTCGGCCCAAAATATTATTATTTTGGGCCCAAACAGTCATTCAACTGTATAAAAATAGATGAACAATTTGCTTTAGTTGATTGACTAAATGATCTTAATTTAAATTGTTTATTTTTCTTCAAAAATAATCTTTATATGATAACATGAACAGTTTTGATCATAATCATTAATTAGAAGTTGTTTGTATTTAAATAGGTTACAAAGTATTTTGAAGACCTCACTCAACCTTAAGAGTAAAACTCTTATCATTAATTTTACCATGTCCAAGTATCCAAAATTAAATTGGTTCTGGTAGTATTTATGGAAAAAAAAAATTCCTCACTCAATTTTAAGGAGCCAAAACTCTTATCATAAAATCTTTACCAAACCTTAATATCTAAAATTAAATTGGCTATATTACCCCCAAAAAAAAAGGGTTTTGGAAATATTTATGGAAAAAAAATGTTCACTCAACTTTAACTAGTCAAACTCTCCTCACAAAATTTTACTAAACCTTAATATTTAAAATTAAATTCGTTCTGGTAGCATTTATGGAGTCAAACATGTAGGACCGTATGATTTTGGCTGATGAGGTAGTGAGAATTTTGAACGAGGATTATCTTTGGGTTCTTTTTGTAAGATTGTAAAATTCTTCTAATTCTATTTTTTATTTTATAATATGTGATTAATTTTTGTTAAATATTATTTATGTTTAATTTTAAATAAAAATTTTAAAATAATTTTTAATCAAACAATATACAATCAGTAGATAAAATATAAAAATTTTTAAAATCGGTTAGAATTCAAATCCGAGAATTTGAGACGGTATCGGGAGAAAACAACAGTATGGGGAAAAAGTAAGTCCACGTGTCGCCAGTCGAGTGAGGGGATGTAAAAAATATCAAGCTTCGTGTCGGACACGCGACGTGATTTGCGCACCCACAAAACCCAGACACGACGGGACAAGTTCTTGCTGCCAAAAACGTGCATAATCGTATTAATGTCCCCCTCGAAACTCCCCCCTCCCCTATCGATCTTTGCTTAAATTACCTTTCCCCCTTCCCCTTCTTCCCATCCCCATTCCCCAGCTTTATATAACCACCGCACGTCGGAACCTAAAGTCTCAATCGACATATATATGCAGATTTACCCTTTTACATTTTCACCTTTTTATTTTTCTTAAATATTATTAAAAAATTAACATGAAGAATCGGAGTCCATTGTCGGAGAGACCCGTGTTTCTCGTCGTCATTCTGGTTCTACTGATCGGCGCGGCGCTGGCGATCTCCAGCTTCTTCCAGGCTGGCACCTCCGTCCTCTACTCCATCGCCGGACCTACATTTCTCCGCGCCGTCGACGATGCCCCGGCGGCCATCCAGCTCCAGGCCATCCTCCACTACGCCACGTCGCACCAGACCCCGCAGCAGTCGCGAGACGAGATCGCTGTGTCCTTCGAGGTCCTCAAGTCCCGCTCCCCCTGCAACTTCCTCGTGTTCGGCCTAGGCTTCGACTCCCTCATGTGGGCCTCCCTGAATCCACGAGGCACGACGCTCTTCCTGGAGGAGGACCCCAAGTGGGTCCAGACCGTCCTCAAGGACGCCCCCCAGCTGCGGGCCGAGACGGTGCGCTACCGCACGCAGCTCAAGGAAGCGGATGAGCTCCTCTCCTCTTACCGCTCCCAACGGTCGTGCTCCCCTTCCGAGGCTGTCCTGCGCGGAAATACCGAGTGCAGGCTGGCGCTGGACAACCTGCCGGACGAGGTGTACGACAAGGAGTGGGACCTGGTCATGGTCGATGCGCCGCGAGGGTATTTTCCGGAGGCGCCGGGGCGGATGGGGGCTATATTCTCTGCTGCTGTCATGGCGAGGAGGAGGCGGGGATCCGGTGTGACGCACGTGTTTCTTCACGATGTGGATCGGAAGGTGGAGAAGGCATTCGCTGAGGAGTTCCTCTGCAGGAAGTTCTTGGTTAAAGCGGTGGGGAGGCTCTGGCACTTTGAGATCCCCTCCGCCGCTAACGTGACGCACGGTGACGGCGAACGTTTTTGCTAAATCCCGCGGCGGTCGAAACGGCGATTGGATAGGTGGAGAAGCGTTACACATTACTACTGGCTGCTCTCTCTTTTCCTTCTAAATAAATAATTTTACCTTTTTTATTAAATTATAAACCGTTTTCACAGTATGATAATGGATAAAGTGTGATAGTTTTCATAACAATTAGGTTTTTTTTTTAATATTAATAAATAGGATGGGTTTTATCACAAATGATAATTGAAATTGACCAACATCATCAAGATGGTCTTTGAAATTTAAAATGTAGTTCCTGAAAATAGGTGGCGCAAATGAATGTGGTTCATCCATCACAGTTCTGTAAAAAAAAAATTTATGTGCTGATATGACATATAAATCGGTCTAGCAGGTCATTTTTTAATCACAAATGGTATTTGAAATTAAAAATTTGGTCCTAAAATAGGTGTTGTAAATCAGTGTAATCATTCCGTCGTAATTGTGTCATGTGTTGATGTGGCACATATATACACCTATGAATCTAACTAAAGCAAAACTAAATTAGAAATAGGTCTAATAATTTGATAATTAATTAAAAAAGTTGTCGAACCAGAAACTCAATCCTGCATTCACCTATGATCCCAACCTATACTCTTCTACCTCCATCTTTGGTAGCCTTCAACGTCTTTTTTTTTAAGGAAAAAAAAAAAAATTTAAGACACCCATCTTTACACTTTTCGACACCCTTCATTGAATTAGATCACGATCAAAACTATATTTGGGGACGACTTGAATTGGTGACGACTTTTGTGACTCCATCGTCAATATTTGGGCGTTTGACAGCCTCACAGCTTTAATCTTGGAGAGCTTGTTTGGAGCTCCACCGATGATCTTGGTCACACGGAGAACGGTGAGCTCTGCCTTGATATAATCTCATTGTGAAACGTGTTTTGACAAGTTTTTTTAATTAGTTATTAAACCTACATCTGCAAATAATTTTTTTTTTCCAGAATTATGACGAATGACCACATTGATTTGCGACACCTATATGTTTTCAGGGACTACGTTGATTGATTTTCAATTTTATGAATCATCTTAATAGTATGAGTCAATTTCAGAGACAATTCATGATAAAAACTCTTACATCTTGTGGACTCCATTTATGTGCCATATCAGCATATAACAATTTTTTTTATTAAATTGTGACAAAATGACCACATTGATTTACGATACCTATTTTCAGATACTACATTGATAAATTTTTAACTTCAAATACCATTTTAATGGTGTGAGTCAATTTTAAAAACCATTTATGATATTGTTTGGGTCGAGCCTGGGATTATTCTCGGCCCAATGGCATTTGTCTAGAATTTTCTTGTGGATTGTCCGGTTAGGGTCGAGCGAATTCTATTGCAAAAGGGGTTAGTTTAGATAAGGGTGAAGTAGTCGATTTCTAGTGGAACAAGGAGTCTTGAAGCTAAAGGTGCTTAGGATCAGGAGATGAATCTGGATTGTTAAAGAGCTTGATTCAAAGTCCTATAGAAATTAGGATTGGCCGAGACCTGATCGAATTGGGGTGAGGAGTTTTATTCCTAGTCCATCTCTAGCTCGGCCATGAGGGGATTCGCTGCTATAAATAAAGAAGGGAGTGCATTATTCAAGGCCCCTCCAATTCAACACACAAATTGCCCTGCACAAAGCTTCTTAACAACCTTGGAGATTTTATCCTCTGTCCCTTTCTTCTCCCCAACACATCTTCAGTTTGGATAAACAACACTGTGAAGACAATTGGTGACATCTTTAGTTTGGATAAACAACATTGGAGCCGTTGAATCAGCCGATCAAGGAGCACCTTCAGTTTGGATAAACAACACTACTTCGAGACTGACTGGTTATTTATCCAAGTCTCGATCCACAAGGATTTTCGAGTCCTTGTTGGTAGAGGTCATCTCATCAACCTTTTCGACGAAGTGAGATGTTACAGGTTACTAAGCTTGGCACGTTGAATGCCGAGTTGTTTTATGATTGGATATTCACAAGTACACTTTAGAGTTCGACATTCTAACGACCGAACCACATTTACCATCAAGACATACATCTTTTTTGAGTATTTGTGTTCATATAGTTTGATGCCAGTTCGACGTGCTTATACTCTCACGAATATAATCACCGTAAACCGAATCCGGTGCCGACGATTTGTGAACTTTACAGAACTAGTAGCCTTGTCTTTAGGCTTTAGAACCTGAATGTCGAGACGTGTTCCTTCATCGACCGCAGTTGCAAGATCAAGAAGTCAGCAGCGCGCTCAATGGGACATCATCATATTTTACTTCCCGGCTGAGCTCAGCCGTCGAGTTGGCACGCCTTGCACATAACTGAATGGCATAGTTAGCTCATTAGTTACTTGGTCTGCGCACCACGTAGGCTTGATAATTTTTAAAGTCAACATATATAAACACCAATAAATTGATGAAATGTTTTACCAAAAAATGAAATGGTTAGTGGCTGTCTCTGAAATATTCGGTGAAAAGAAAGATAATTAATGATAATTCTGGAATGTTATTGACTACTTAATAAAACAATAATGGCGAGTTCGAATTTTGTAAGGTACTTTGCGACTTTTAAAAGTTTTTAAGGTTGTATGGTTCTTGATTCATTGTTACTTGTCTTGTAAACCTCTTCCGTCAACTGGAATGATTGACTAGTCACCCGTAATGTGTGGGTGATACCCTGGAATATGTTTGAGGACTTTAGGGCATGCTTACCATTATACCGTAGATTTTTGTTGAACAATATTCTAATCGATGACGATGTATTGTTTTTTGTATCATTTTTTTAACAGAAAATAACGATGTAATGGTAAGAATATTTCTATGATTTTGCTTGTAATGCATTGCTAATTTTCCTCTAAACTTCTATTTTGATTAATTTACCCTAAATATATAGCAAATAACATCTAATGATTTGCATGTGTACTTTTTACCAGAAAAAATTTGAATAAATTGTGCGTAAACATAACCATTAAGTTGGAAACTAACCGTTTCTAATGATTGTGGAGGAGAAGAATAGGCCCAAAGGAAAGTTCAAGGAGGAAACTAGTAGTTGCTCCAAGTTCGGAGAAAAAATTGGCGAAATAATCCAAAAGGTAAACGCTCTACCCAACAAATTCTTTCCTTCTTAATGAAGAAATTAAAACATGTCAAGACTATTAGGTTTTGAAAAATAGGACTAGGAAAAAGAAAAAGAAAGACTTAATATGTGCTCCATTTATAACAGGAACACGTACAATCAGGTCCATGAAATTAGAGTTCACAGGAATAAGAAAGAAATAAAAATTACACATGTTTATTGTTAATAAAAGCAATACCATGATGAAATCCTAGGCTGGATTAGTCATAGTGTCAAATGTTTTTCTCCTGACTAAGAGGCAAGTGATGCTGGATGGCTAGGTGTGTGTATTATTACGGGTGCACAGCAGAAAATCCGGCCGGTACAGCGCAAGCGCTAACTGGTCCTCCCCCACAACCAAGCCGGTTGCGTCAAACAGGACATGCCATGAGTTCCTATGTGCCTCCGAGATCCAATCCATGGAGTATTTAGTCCCATTGACAGTGGCAGGATAGGAAAACAGTCCTTTGGGACTATACTTGCACTTTCTCCTAAAGTACTGCTAAGTTGTGACCCTTTTATCCTCAAATCCAACCAAGTTTATGGTGCTGAAATAGCCCTAGATTCTTTGGTACTTGCAAAGTCCCTTAGAGCAACTCCAGCGTTGGAGCCCTCCCTCCAGGCTATTCACTATTCAATCTTCCTGGTGAACAGTAACTGCCCTTAATGAACAGTAATCGCCTTTTGCATCTCCACCGTTACACTTCAATAGCCCTGGTAATAGGCAATAAAATATTAGTATTTTTTTTATTTATAAAATAATACAAAATAATTTTATTTGTAATTTCGGATAAGATTTTTAATCGTTCTCATTGCATCACTTGTCATAAAATCCGAAATGAGACGGTATTTATAGAAAAGTAAAAACATTTTTTTTTTTTTTTTAAATTCAAAATTTTTTTTCGAATTTTTTACAATTTTTTTACAATTTTTTACAATTTTTTTAAAATTTTATTCAACTAATTAATCGTTGGATATAAAAAAATTTGAATTCCAACACTCCAAATTGTGCCACGTGTCACAACGGTAACTTTTCTTAATTTTAAAACTATTTTTTCTTTTATTTATTTATTTATTTATAAAGCATATTAATATCGACCGTTGCTCTTAGATCGAACGGTGGATATTAAATAAGACTTTTTTTTATTTTTTTTACCGTTGAGATTGAACGGTCCAAGTTAAAGAGCCGTTGAGATCGAACGGACCGTGGGAAGCCACGTGACTTCCCAATGGTAACTTTTGAATCTGAAAAAGTTACTGATTTTTCTAAAATTGTGTCGGCGACCCGCCCCCACGCGCAAGTGGGGTGCACACACCTGACAGAAAAATAAAATAAAAAAAGACTTGACGCCAAGCTGACGTCAGCCCTGGCGTCACATCGACTCGGGACCTCGGGCTGGCAATTCTTCACGGGCCGAAGCTCGGACCTCTACCTCCACTCGGGCTCCTTCACGCTGGAGCCGGTTCATAGGGCCTCAGGCCCCTTTTCTCTGGCCTGTCCCCCGAGCATCCACCTACGGTGGAGTTACTCTTATGGGATCAGACTGATCAGTCTTCTCTCCCACAATGGTCGTATAGTAATTTCCTCTGAAGAAAGGGTAGATCTCACCAATCATCACCATCGCATCTTTGTAATTTGACATGAAAATGACTAAATAGTCTTCCCCTTGCAACCCACATTGCTTCAATTCCTTGCTTGGACCTCAGGAATGGATGCAAAGTTACCCTGGAACGAGGATGTCGAGAAGTCTTGAGAGGTTCCATTTGTGTCCTGTCCAGGTCTGAGTGAGTGCTGCTGAATGGGGACAACTCTTTTGGTGTCACACTCTTGGGTGACTTGAGCTTATTGTCATGGGGTGGAGTTCCTGAGGATTCTTCGTTGGTCGAAAGATTATCGATGTCTAGTTTTTCGACATCTTCTGCTAATCCATTGCAGTATTCTGGGTACTTTGTGAAGATGTATTGCTGAACATAGAGCATCTCACTTGGTGTGATGGGACCTGACCATCTCAGATCAAGGCCTCTGAGTGAGGATATGGCTTCTGCTATCAAGTGAGCAGGAAACATGGTGTTTGCTTTCTGTGATTCAAACAAGTATGGCGGAACTCAGTTAACACGTAAATTAGTAGTAATACCAGATGATGACATGACCACCACGCTCAAAAAAAAGGAAAAAGGAAAAAAGTATGGGACAGAATTCACCGACCTTAACTATCATGCTACTTGGTCTTCCATCTTCAGTTGGTGAGTTTGGTGAAGAACCTGAAGCCAGTCCTTGGAGTTCAACTTTTACTATATCCTAAAGAGCAGAGAATTGGAAATTTACAGCTCACATTTAGCAACAATAATTTTTCTTTTTCTAATTATCTCAACTACGGGGAGAACAATTTGAACTTGAGTGAAGAGAGAGAGCATAATGCTCTAGCCAACTTCACTATGACAAGATATGTCAACGGAAAGTGATTTCCAAACACTCATTTTCTCTTCATGCACACCCCTATTTATCTCTGGCCTTTGGATTGAATAACCAAGGAGAACCAAACGACTGAAATTAACGGGCTGTGCAGACGGAGAGAATGAATGAACGTAAATCACTTCCTTATGCCAATTTGGAGCAGCTTTGAAGTAATAATACAGTTACAGAGAAAAGTTTACGGAAATACACGCACACACGTATATATGTACCTTGAGTTTGCCATTCATGGTATCTTTTTCTTGTTAGTTTCTTCCCATGTTGCTTCTCACTCCTTCAGAAGCAGGAGAATATAGAAAATTGGGAGAGGAAACAGAAATGTCGAACCAGAATGGTGGTCGTGAAGACTTGAGACTAGTCTTTTGTTATATGAAGATTATATGGTGCAGGGTGGGGGATCAAATTGAAAGATTAAAATAAAACCATATATCTTCAAGACAAAGAGAGCAATGCCAGCAAGTGATGAAAGCAATACCCACACACAGCATTTAGGAAGGATATCAATCATAGTTTATTCAATTATATATTCACCTTGATTAGCTCAGCTAACAATAATTATTAAGGTTAATTAACCCTTAAGTACAATCTTGATTTCTTTGATAGGTTTACATGGAATATGTATTTAAATTATTCAGATTCCTAACTTTCTCAATTTTTACTGACACACACATGATCACATTACAATTTGTAGTTTAATATTTGAAAAATCATAAATTACATTGACTACGTGAATTAAGTGATCTTGTTCCATTTTCTTCTCTCTTATTCTTAACTTCCCGAATTCATTACTTTTTTCGTTTACTGCCACATGCAAAATAAAAAAGTATACGAGTTTCACATTACATTAATCTATAATCTAATACTTGAAAAACCAAAAATTACATTGATGAAATAGGTGACCATGTACCATTTCATTATTATTCCTAACTTTTCAGATTTATTACTTCTCCGTTTCAAGTAAGCAATGATTATCAAATTTACTTGTAAATGGGTAACATAATGCTTGGTTGAGTCAAACCAAAAAATTAACAAAGTAGGTATGGTTCAAGTTTTTAATTTTAAACATGTGTCACCCTTGAGTTTGTATATTTTTTTTCCACCGAAATGCCTGCGTGACTGCATGCATCGATCTAAGTTCCAAAAAATAAAGGATATAAAAAAGTTGGAGACGACGAAATGGCAACAAGTAGCAGTAAATTAACAAAGGTACCAACTATTAGGTCATCAAAGATTAATTAAATTATTGGGAGAGATGGCGAGTCGTTGAGGAGGGCGTGGATCTTTCTAAAATTGATAGGGGCTCGTAAAATCATGCGTTAATTTATTTTGGAATGGTTATCCACACATCTTATTTTACTTCTTACATATTTTTTGATAATTTTTATTCGTTAATCTTTTTCAATTCATTCTATCCGACGTTCAAAAATTTAAAAAGTGTGTGAGAAGTAAAATGGAATGTGTGGATATCACATCCCTTTATTTTAAAAAGCATTGTGTTATTTTCTCTGCACTCGAGTTTGAATGTCACTTTTTGTAGTTTAGATATATTTAAAGAAAAATATTGTTTCCCCAAAGTATGGATTAATTTACATGCCTAATGATGTGGGCTTAAGTATGATTATCAATATAATGCTTTAAATTAATCCCAACCACAATTCAAAAGTAGATGTGGTCGTAAACGTTCAAACCCATGAACTATTACACGCATGCTGCTTGGAATCCAATCACTAGCTAACTTGTCTAACTTGTCTATAACTGTCAAGATTTGAAATCGAAATCTCGTTAAACAAAGTGAAACCAAATAACGTTAGACCAAATTAACATTAGTTGTGTTACCGTTCTTTAAGAATGATACTTAGCGTTGGATTTGTTCGATCACTTTAGCGTTAGCCCCTTCCAACATTGGTTGATTGCAAAAGGTCAATTGTGTACGAGACGCCGCATGGCAGCGATTTGGTTGCTCCTTTGGGCCAAAGCTTGGAAGCAAAACGCTGCATGTGTCTGCAGTACATGAGCGGAATTTTGCTAACTGATATGTCGGGAGCATCTCCTCTCCAACCAAACACATTATTGCTTTACGAATAATTGGTTTGCATTACTCAAATATGATGAAAATATTTCGTGACCTCAAACAAATTACGACTAAAATCGACTCGTTTCGTATACTTCTAAAACCGACATTAAAGAAAAAAATAGTAGGAAACTGCTAATAATCTGGCCTTCCATATAATCAGTAACATATAGTTCAGTAATACAGATTGATGAATGCCTACTTTCTGAATTATACCTAAATACATCCCGAGCGAGTAGATGGATCGATTTTGAACGACTGCTCAGCTCGATAGTATCATGAATTAGCCCAAATCTGAACCAGACTTGAGAAGGGCACTGGGGAGGCCACTAGAAATTGGCACTCTGTACAGATGCACGATAAAAATGGAGTATTCCACTACAAAAAGTATTTCATCCGATCATCTCTTCTCATGGCGTTGTATACAGCTTGGACCTGGAAATCACAATACAATTCCACGTCATCAAATTATAATCGTTATCCATTTACTGCCTGAAGATTGTCTGCATAATGGATATAGAGAAATAACATTAGCAAATTCATGGCGAGAGTGCAGGGGAGGGAGGGGAAAACCTGTTCACTTGAAATTACTTGAACAGGTCCAATGTTTACAGATACATATTTTCCCCTCGATGACACCTTCTGCCTCACATGACCCTGCCATAAAAAATAGCATATAACAAGGTCCGTCAAACTTTTGCATTCATTATTTATGAGTGAATTGAACTCGTGCACTCGATAGATCAGACGTCAACAAACATATCAACAATCAAATTTTCATCTTTATTTAAAAGGGGCAACAAAAATGGATTGTAGCACAAGGATTCCTGTTACATGTTGCACCACCACCCACCACATAAGCCTTTTGGAGTAAATGAATTTCACTTTTCACCTTATACTAGGTTTAAATTAAAACAAATGTCAAGTCATGATTACTATAGCAATCGTGGCCAAGCCAAGAAGACAAAAACTCCCAGTTCTTTAAGTATTATGTTCCTTCCATTCACAATTATCTTATTGGAGAAAAATCCGTTCATTGGGGCGTTTGGAAAAATAATAATAATTTGGCACCCATTGATCTTAATTTGTCAGGTTCGTATTCCACTCAACAATCTATACTTTAAAATGCATCCCAATGGATAAGCATTTGGCTATAGCCTAGAGGGAGCAGAGTCAGCAGATCTATTAGCTATGCCTGTTTCTGAGTCATCTTAAATCAGCGAGAACACTAAACTATGGTCAAATTCAGCTATTAGTCAATTTCCCTATGGTTGGCTCCATGTTACCCTCAACAAGTGCACATCAAGAGCCAGTTTCAGTTATGAGCATTAAGGGCAAGACGTATACCGCATTTTTTCTAGCCAACAGAACCTCTTTTAATCGATGATTGGCAAAGTACCTACCACACTCAAAAGAGAAGTTGATTAGTTTCTTTTATGACATATGCAGCCTGCCCAACTCTTTGCACCGCATTTTCAAATTCAAACCACATCTTTTCTGGCACATTTCATACTCTTAGCCTCTTATCACTTTCTCACTCCTTTTCAGGAGCTTTGAACTTCCCATAAGATGTTTCTCAGTGGCAACTGCATAAACCATAATTAGTTTTCCATCATGATCACTGGCCAAAGCTGCTCCTTATTTCTCATAAAACTGTCCATCAGTACATCTCAAAATTCCTCAGGCTGTCTACCAGTACATCTTAAAATTCTTGTCCCCAAACTACAGTGACACTTAGTTTGGTTGGAATCATAATGTTCTGTACAAAAATAGAGGGCAGGAGGGGCATGGTAGAATACATCGCTATAAGGTCTCCTCTTGATCCTAATAAATAATAAAATTACCTTAAGCCTACCGATCGTAATTTCAAGGACATACACATAAGTCTAAGAAACAACTCCAATGCACCACGTCTCTGCTTATAGTTTAGCATATACTTGACATTGCAATAATATGTCCTCATATTATTTAAGACAACAAGCACCTCTTTGGCTATCATAATTCACTTGTTTCAGTCTATAAATTTACATACTCGAGAAATCAACTCAGAAATTAGCTACTAGTTTCCTATTCTATTCATCTCCAATTGAGCTACTCAATACACAAGTAATAAAGCACGGGGCTTGTAGCTGAAGTGGTCAAAATCATTTACCCATGCACCCAAGGTCCTAGGTTGGCTACCCCCTTCCCCCAACATCGCTTGCATAAAAAAATATATTTCATGAACATTGATACACTCAATGAAATACTATGTGCAACAATTTGACCCGAAAGAAAACAACAGCCTACAGAACTACACAAGTGTACTTGTATGTCCACAAATGGTTTGATTTCAGCAAGGTACCCATAATGCTTGCAAATACACGCATTAGACCAATTCATAAATATATCTATCAAATAACTGCAAATGATGGGCAGTCACAACAAGGGTTAATATATACATATATTGTGATTGCACGTAAGTATGTATACCTCGGGGACAGGTTGTTGAATTACGGATTCGACAGCAACAACCATAGCTTGAACAAAATCATCCCCTCCAGTTCCAATTGCTGTGAACCCTCTAACAGTTGGATACGAATTTACCTTCAATAACACAAAGTCACACCATTTTATATACACAACCACGTCGAAAATATTACAAACTTACTCCTAAACGTTACAAGTCAGCTGTTGAATCAAAATTAATCAAAAGCAAAGCAATGGGTTTATCAATACCTTCTGATCCAAGTCGACCCATTCATTCGTAGAATCATCCGCCACCGTGCCTCCGATAACCACATTCGTCGTCTGCCCAACTCTCCCTTCTGTCTTCGAAACCTCTATATCCAACTCCAACACCAAAAACGAGTCAAAGAAATTCATAAATACCAAAAATTAAAATTAAAATAAATAAATTTCTGAGACTGGGAGGAGGACGAAACCTGAAATTGCTTTCAAGATGGCCTCTTGCGGCGGGCCCTGGTCGTCCTCCGGCAAATCCGACGAATTTTCGTTGTCGGCGCGGTTGAGGTGAGTCCGTCGCGCGAATTGGACGTCCCGGGTCCTGAAGTGGCGGGTCAGCCTGGGGGAGGAGAACCCGCGGGTCCTGAACGAGGCGGAGGCGGAGCTCCGAGCGAGATGAACGGGTCGCCACGCTTCTACTAGCACAGCGGATCGTAGCGCAGTCCTGCACGCCATTTCTGGTCCTATTTCGATTCCGAGGAGATTGTTCGTGTTTTATTTTGTTTTCCTTTCTGTGTCCCAGAAGATAATTAAACAAGATTCTTTAAAATTTAGAAAGACGAAATTATCCTTTGAAATTGGCGTTAGTGAGGAAGCCTCAGCAAGGGCTTAAAAGTCTTTTCGGTTGACAGCGGAGGGCTATAAGAAATTACTGCCGCGAAAGGGCAAAAAGGGGAGAAGGAAAACCACTGCGGCGACGCGAACCCCAGAAGTGCTGAAACCGCGCGATAAAACCCTAGCGAAACCCCCCTCTCCGACTACCTTGCTCACTCTGTTTCCCGGCTCCGAGTTAACTCACCGCCGCCCGAGGCGACTCGCCGAAATGTACGGATCCGAATCCGGTACGGTCCCGGATGATTCGGAGCGAACCGCTTTCAGACGAGCGGAGAAGAAGTACAAGCTGTATTACGAAGACACTTACAAATCCTCCAAAAAGTAATTCGATTCCCGAACATGTAATTTGACGATTCCGATTCCGATTCCAATTTCGTAAATAATTAAACGTGTAATTTTCGTTTTCTATCAGGAAAAGGAAACCCAAACCGGTGGATTTATCTGAGGTCTTGGATTTCAAGTCAATTCTAGAATCCTACAATCAGAAGGCTGTGCTTCCGCCGGGAATCGTTCCGGTTCAATGCGGTTTCGATGGACCCGTCTTCTCCATAGAAAATGGCCCAGGCAACAACCTTTTCTCTTTCAATGCATTTTCATAATTTCATTATATGCTTTTGATACTTTCATTTTTTTTCCTCCTGCATTGGATGAATGCTAATGTATATTAGGGATTTGAATTCATACGCGGTTCGTTAGTAACTAGTACTATAGGGATTTGAATTGACTAATTTCAGTTTATAGACCTGGCGTAGCCAAGTTGACTAGAGCAGTGTGCTCACCCTACGTCACACCAAAGTTTGAATCCCCATTTTAGTAGTTTAGATTACATATAATTAGAATACCGCTTGAACAAAAGAAAATTAGTATTACGGATTTGAATTGGTATCTCCTTTTGGAAACATTACAGGATTTTATTTCATTCCTGGAGCACTGAGCGTAGAAGAACAATGCCAATGGATAAGGGAGAGTTTAACCAGCTTCCCGCGGCCTCCTAACAGAACTAATCACAATGCATTTTACGGGCCTATTAGTGATTTATTTTCTGCGGTGAAGGAGAGGAAAGTTTTGGTTGCACAAGGGAGTTCAAATTCTGAATGTAGTTCTGCTGTCAGCAATGGGGATGCTGACAGGTGGAAGTTCTTTGAGGAACATGAAGTGTCGTCAAAGGGAAACTCAGGAAAATTGGTCTCGGCTTCAGTTTTATTACGGAAACTGCGTTGGAGCACCCTTGGCCTGCAATTTGAATGGTCCAGGGTAGGTGTTGGTCCAATTTTTCTTTTCAATCTAGAAAGCCTATCATGCATTTTTAGTAAACAAAAGTTGCATGCCACTTGGATGCCACATGATTTAGGCGAGAATAAACGGAAACTGTACTTTTCAAGCTAAAAATAGTTGTTACCCTTGTAAGCAATGAATAGTTTCTGATATTTATTGGTAAATCAGTTCAATTTGAGACTTTGTTTGATGCATTCGAGTTTCCTCACAATACATATTGAACCAAAAATATGTTCATGGTGTAGCGAAACTATGACGTCTCTCTTCCACATAACAAAATCCCTGATACACTTTGTCAACTGGCTCAAAGACTGGCAAAACCTGCAATGCCTCCGGGTGAAGAGTTCCAGCCTGAAGGTGCAATAGTCAACTACTTTGGCCCAGGTATTGCTACGAAAGAGTTCCTCACCAACGATTTGAATGCTGTTTCTTTTTTGGTTGGAAAGAAAGAACAAGCTAGAATTTACATATGTTCTGTCTTCTGGTTTTTTGTCTAGGCGATATGCTTGGGGGCCACCTTGATGACATGGAAGCTGATTGGAGTAAGCCTATTGTAAGCATGAGGTATCCTTCCATGCCATTTCATTTTTGGTTTTCGATCCTGGTTGTTCATCAAGAAAAAAGGAAATAGATTTAGTAATATGCATCTCCTTAGGAGCTGAAATGTCTTTCACTTTCCTCAGTTTAGGCTGCAAAGCAATTTTCCTTTTGGGTGGAAAGCTTAGGGAGGATCCTCCAATAGCAATGTTCCTTCGAAGCGGTGATGTTGTACTTATGGCCGGGGAAGCAAGGGAATGCTTTCATGGTAAATGCGAATCTTCACCTATCTTTTACTCTCGTGTGCTTTCTTGTGATAAACAGTGCGGCTTGCCATTTCCCACAACACTTAACTTTGGTTGTGATTTCGTAGAGTATTGTATTTACAGCCTTATAAGACAATGCCTTGGCTCTCTTGTGTTGCAGGCGTGCCTCGGATATTCACTGAGGGAGAACATGCTGAAATTGTGCCTCTTGAGAAGCGGTTCTCCGACGAGGAGGATGTTTGTGTTTTAGAGTACATCCAAACTTCAAGAATCAACATCAACATCAGACAAGTATTCTGAGTTTCTTATATTCTTTGTCATTGATTTTTTTGTTTCAACGGAAATGAATTTTTGGCGATGGAGAATTGTAAGAGATGGTGCTACGCAACGACGTGGGAGAGCTATATAACTACAACGGGGGGTTGCACCGATGAATGCGTGGCTCATTAGAAGTTAAGCAGAAACAAGAGAAAATAAGTACGAATGCAAGCATCATTGATCATCCAATGGAGCAATGCAAGTAGCATTGGTTAGAAAAAAGACACTGTTATTTGATTGTGGAATTGAATCGAACGTGTATTATTGGGAGTTTTATTTAATTGGGGTCGTTATTTTTTGTAAAAATTCATAGTCGATGCTCCTGCAGCGCAAGGTTATAGTTTTCTCACAACTCGATTTTGTAGGTTGTTCTGAGGCTAAAGAAAAATTTGTACAATTTTTTAAGAAATTTTGAAGCTCATGGATGTTAACTGTTTTTTATGCTCAACAGTCTCTGTTCTTGGTGCGAATTAAAATTCATCAAACTCACTTTACCCCATAAAAAATATAAAAAATATTGAACTCGTAAAATACGAGATGTTGACAGTGGGATTTGAACCCACGCCCTTTCGGACCAGAACCTTAATCTGGCGCCTTAGACCAACTCGGCCATATCAACATTTTGGGAGAATGAGCTATTTTTATATTAATAAAGATAGAATACAATGAGCGTATCACAAAATAGAAAGATGTCCCACATCATGGAAACATTGATTTGAGCAAATGTTCACAAAGATTTACACTGAGCTTTGATATTGCCAAGCTTGTTAGTTTAAACTTATAACTAAAAACTGTAATAAGGTGATTCATGTATGATGAAGTTTAGTAAAGGAGTTCTCATTTAGTCACCATAGTTTGATATGTGTGAGGTTGCTTAAGTACGCCTTAAATTACTCGGGTTAGTATGACACTCTACGCATTATAACTGGATGTCTATAACATTTTACATAATGTTGGGCAAGGAAATAGTTTAACGTTCTTGTGCTATTGTCCAAGTTGTAAGCATGCCTGAAATTTTGCTAAAGTTTTCTTGATCTCCCCACTTTTGGTAACATATCGCAATTGATATTTTTTGTCGATATTTATGTTGATCTCCATTCCTCGATAAGACCGTCAAAATCAATATTTAACAGCTTGGATGTGATAACTTTTTTAGAAATAGTCAAAATCAATACCTTATATAATTAAATGTTGGGCTAGGAAAGATTTTAACATATTGTCCAAGTTGTGAGCATGCCTAAAATTTCACTGAAATGTCCTCGATATCCCCACTTTTGGTAATGTATCTCAAATTGAGATTTTTTGCCAATGTTTATGTTGATGTGTTCTTATCTTCATGCCTCGATAAGAGCGTAAAATCAGTATTTAACGGCTTAGTTGTGAAAACTTTTCTAAGAAATGGTCTAGTTTTAGGGATGAAAAACTTGAGACAAAAGGTCTGCCCAAGATAGCGCTTTGTGGTTGAAATTCTTCACAACTCGTACAACAAGGTAATTACTCGTAGTCTCATATCTCAATTTGATTTTTTTTACTTAAATGAATCTTTTCATATACTAATGAGTCGATTTACTAAACCTCAGGATCAAGATTTTTAAGCTGAAATTTCTTGTTTCAAATCTGTTCATAATTTAACTCAATCAAAATTTATGTTGATTTTTTTTTCTTTATCTAATCTACATATCCTCAATATTTTTTCTCACATCGGCATTTAATAGATTTGTGACAAATTTTCATTTCTTTTATTTTTATAAAAGGCCCCAATTTTAAAGAATTTTTTTCATATTTGGTTAGAAAAGAAGGGCACCAAAAATGTAGTGACAAAAGATGCAGTTGCAGTTCGATTTGGTTCGGTTTAGACTTCCGACCTCAAACAAAACCTAATAACATCGTTGTTTAGAATGGTTACTATAAAACTAACAAAACCAAACTAATCCATTTGTGTAGGAATATGCATGGAGTGTAACAAAGATGCAACTTCTTCATCTAGTTAAAGAATTTTTGGTCAAGTTTGGGCGAGAGTAGCACTAGTATGGAATATGGATGGACTTCTGGAAAGTTCTCATGTTGTATCCCCCTCCTTTAAAACTAGGTTGACCAAAAAAAAAAATTTATTCCGGATCGACCAAAGAAGTGGTTTGGAGATATGGATGGACTTCTGGAAAGTTCTCACGTTGCATCCCCCTCCTTTAAAACTAGGTTGACCAGAACAAAAGAATTTATTCCGGATCGACCAGAGAAGTGGTTTGGAGATAATTAGGTGTGGGCGGCATTTGATGGCGATGATGGGATGTCTAGGTATTATGTTCATAAGGTGATTTCTTTGGGTTCTTTCACATTCCGGATCCTTCGGCTGAACCCCAAAACAAATAGTGAACTGGACCCCTTGACACGGGGTTCCTCTGGCCTCTCAAAGCCAAAGCCATCTGCGGATTTTCCAGTAGGAAAATATGAAGTGAGAATATCACTCAATAATACAATGTCATCGTATTTACGTTTTTTTACATATG